CCATAAGGCAGCTATTAATAAACAGAAAAGCAGTGTGGCAGAGAGGGACAACAAAACATTGGAGCCAAACCTACCTCATTTTCAATCCCGGCCCTGCCACTTACTCAATATGTGACTTTAACCTCTCTAAGCCTCAGATTCCTTTCCTGTAAAATGTTGATAATAGCCTGGAACACATAATATTGTTTTGTACAATATATAAAACTAGAGGCCCGATGCACGGGGGGGGGGGGGGGGGGGGCAGGTGTCTGTCAGCCCAGCTTGCACCCTCTCCAATCTGGGACCCCTTGAGAAATGTCCCTCTGATAATCCAGGAATGCTGGCTCCCAACCCTTCACCTGCCTGCCTGCCAGATTGCCCCTAACCACTTCTGCCTGCCAGCCTGATAACCCACTAGCCATTCTCCTGCCAGCCTGATAGACACATAACTGTTCCCCTGCTGGCCCGATTGCTCCTAAATGCTCTCCCCTGCTGGCCTGATTCCCCCCAATTGCCCTCCCCTGTAGGCCTGGTCCCCCTCAACCGCCCTCCTCTGTAGGCCTGGTTGCCATCAACTGCCCTCCTCTACAGTCCTGGTCACCCCCCGACCTGCCCTCCCCTGCAGGCCTGATCGCTCCCAACTACCCTCCCTTGCAGGCATGGTCCCTCCCAACTGCCCTCTCCTGCTGGCCTGATTGCCCATAACTGCCCTCCCCTGCCGGCTATCTTGTGATGGCCATCTTATGTCCACATGGGGGCAGCCATCTTTGACCATATGGAGGCAGCCATCTTGTATGTTGGAGTGATGGTCAATTGCATATTACTCTTTTATTAGATAGGATTATATACAAAGCACTTTGTCTTAGCATACAATAAACACTATTATAATGACTGCTATTAACTAGCACTGTGCCAAGTACATATTATCCTAAATAATAAAAGGCAAATAAGCAAATAGACTGAACGGCAGAACAACCAGTCTCTATGGTGCACACTGACCACCAGGGGCAGATGCTCAATGCAGGAGTTGCCCCCTGTGATCAGTGTGCTCCCACAGGGGGAGCACCACTCAGCCAGAGGCCGGGCTCACACTGGAGAGTACAGAGGCAGTGGCGGGAGCCTCTCCCACCTCTGCAGCAGTGCTAAGGATGTTTGACTAATGGCTTAGGATCACTCCCTGGGGGATCACTCCCTAAGCCATCAGTCAGACATCCCTGAGGGCTCCCAGACTGCGAGAGGGCCCAGGCTGGGTTGAGGAACCGCCTCCTCCAGTGCACAAATTTTGTGCACCAAGCTTCTGGTCTGTTTATAAATGGTGATTAGTACTATTCATTTCCTTCTGCTGCTGTCGTAGAGCCCTGTGTCGACCTGAGCTTAATGTGATGTGTATTATGTCAAGGGCCCGTTTAATACTACCATAACACACTAGGCACTTTAACATTTTATCATACCACATTAAACATATAAAATAAATATTTCTCATCAGTATTATTCATACAGAAATGTACCTGAAGTTATTTTAATAAGTCTTACTTCTGAAATGATTTGACTATAGTTTATGATAGACACTGTTCCTTCTGCAATCATGGTACTTGAGAATTACTGTAAAATAAGAAAAATCTAATCTAAGATTACAAAGTAATAAACTTATGTGTGCCAAATTCCAAAATACATAAAATCACGCTCTCTTTGGCAGCACGTATGCTAAAATTGGAATGACATGGAGATCGGCACTGCCCTCGCTCAAGAATGGCAAGTAAATTCCACAAAAGTAAATAAATAATTAAATCTACTTCATGTTACTGTGGTAGCTGGTGGGTAAATATGTTAAACTAGAGGCCCAGTGCATGAAATTGTGCACAGATATGGTCCCTAAGCCTGGTCAGCGGTCAAAATAGGAGCCATCTGGTATGGAAGGGCAGGTCCCAGCTGACCCCTGGTCCCTTGACAGCACCTGGGCCCCCCGTGTCCCCGCACGCCCCCCCTCTACTTGAATCATGGCTCCCCAGTCCCCATGTGGAGATGCAGTGAGTATGGCCAGACATTGTGGGCCAGAGTGTAACGTGGGCCTCGGGGCCGCCCAGCAGCAACCAGGGAAGCCAGGCAGGCAGCAAACTCTTTCCCAGCCAGCCTTGCAACCAGCTTCTGCGCAAACCCATGGGTCTCATAGCTGCAGCCCAGCTCACCCAGAAGAGGCCGTGCAGGAGTGGGACAGGCTCCTGGTGGGCGCCTGGCACCTGAGCATGGGAGATTCCCAAGGGAATGAGAGTAAACTCAGTGGACACCCCACATTCTCACCGCTCCTTTATCTCAGTCACCCCCACCCCAGGTAGCTGGCAAGAGGTCACAGAGCATCGCCCACACCTATCATATTTTTTTTAATATATTTTATTGATTTTTTTACAGAGAGGACACACCTGTCATATTTTATGCCACCCCTTTAATGGTCAGTACACATTATTGGAAGTGGTCAAACTCCCGGTCAAATGATGCACAAGGGGATATTTTGCATATTAGGCTTTTATTATATAGGATTTGATTTTTTAGTTGCCTTTTTCAATGTTGAAGCCAAATTTTTCCCCCCTATTCTCAAATATTATAGAACCTTGAAATCTTCTGACTCTAGGCACTGAGCCTATAGTGCTTCATGCATAAAACATCTCTGAGCCCCTGGTAATTGGGAGGACTTGTGATAAATGAGTAGGATCAGATACACAACCATAGGAACCCCTTCCCCAGGCCTCCTGGAGTGGGGGTGGCCAGCTGCAGGGTTAGCGCCTTCTTGAGGGAAAGCATGTTTGCAGCTCAATTTGACTCAGAGCTTGCAAAATCTGTGTTCAGTCACTTTGGTCAGCACAAAATGTTTCTGCCAGCCTTGGCTCCTGTTGCCATCCCCACCCTCTCACTCCAAAGCTTGGATCTGCAACTGTTAATGAATAATCACTTGGTAATCCTTCCATCTCAATGGGAGAGGCTCAGCTGAGGGCCTGCAAAAGAGAAATGACTTCCTGGATAAATAAATATATGTATATTTGCTCCTTGGGGCCCACATCAACTGCTTGCTGGACAATGTTCTCCTGGCTTCAACAACCAGTGTTTTGCTAACTTTGTGGGAGGGGTGCATGAAGGGATCTCCACCATGAGAAGGGTGAGCTCTGCAGGCTCCCCCTTGGAGGCAGAGAGACACACCCTTCAGGAGTTTCCATTGGCAATGCAGATGCTAGAAGCCTAAATTTATTTTGCCACTTTGACGAGCATTTTATCTCAAAGGCAGAGAAGCCACACAAATCACAGAGGTAGAGATGCTGGGATGGGCCTAATACATCAACATGGACCTGAAGCCAAAACAAGTTACTCAATTTAAGTAATTTGCTTCCTCCCTTTACAATTGTTGCAAAACCCACTTATTGCCAGTAGTATCTATACTAATAAAAGGTAATATGCTAATTACACCAGGAGACCTTCCAGACTTCCTTTCGGACAAAGCCATGGTGGCGGGGCTGAGGCAGAGACAGTTAGGGGTGATCAGGCCAGAAGGGGAGGGCAGTTGAAGATGATCAGGCTGGTGGTGGGGACAGCTGGGGGTGATCAGGCCAGCAAGGGGGACAGTAGGGGTCAAGCAGGCCAACAGGCAGAGTGGTTGGGGTGATCAGACAGGTAGGCAGGTAAGCGGTTAGGAGCCAGCAGTCCTAGATTGTGAGAGGGATGTCCCAGATTGGACAGGGTGCAGGCCTGGCTGAGGGACACACACCTCCCCCAACCCTGCCATGCACAAATTTGGTGCACCGGGCCACTAGTATAAATATAATTTACTCAATATGCATGCACTCATTTAGTTCAAATAATACTTTGAAAACGAAACTGGTTATCACCACATTTCAAAGAATATGAGTGTCACTTAATAAATAGAAATAAAAAATAAATATAATGTCATCCAATGTTTTTAACTTCCATTCAGAATTATTTTCAATTGAAAACTGAATCTGAGTTCTGTTGTCTCTATCGGAAATGGGAGGAGAAACAAAGGATTTACCTGCCTTCTTGCTCTAATGGGAGACTTTCTCTTAAATGTTATCAGAAGGATTAGAAGGGAATTATTGGGGGCAATGTTCATGCACCACTTAAACCACAGAGACACTCTCACTATGCTCTGCTTCCGTGGAAAAACTTTCTCCTTCCCTTTAAGCCTGGCACTAAACCAAAGGGATGGGTTGAAAGTCAGGAAGCTCCTGGCCCCGGCTCTGCCACTCATGTGATAGCGTGGGGAGGGGCACTTCATCTTTCCGGACCTCCAGCTCCTTCATCGGTGAGATAGTTGATTGAGATGATCTGATAACCTCTATCATCCCAAGACTTTCTCCTTGAGGGTGAAACATCAGCCATGGAAAGAACCCAGCTCACCATCCTGCTTTGCTGGCTCCCTTTCTGGGAGTGACTGTTTACCCAGCTTCAGCAAGAAACTGGGCCACAGAATATTCAGACAGGAATTAACCTGACTCCACAACCTTAATATTGCTTCTTTCAGGAACGCCTGAGCTAGCCTGGGAGAGTGAGGTATGGACCCATGGCCTATTTTTCTTCCAAGATTCGTTTCCTTTTGTGGCCTGACTTCTCAGAGCTTCCAACAAGAAACCCAGGAGTGTGGAAAGAACAGGGCCTTTGGAAGCTGAGAAGCATTGATTAAAATCCTGTATTTGACACACTCTAGCTGGGTAATGATGAACAGGTTCCTTAATTTTTCTGAGTCTCAGTTTGCACATATATTTTTTAAAAAGTAATCATACTCACCTCATAAATTCTTTTGAGGGATAAACAATGTAGGATTTATTGGGAGCATAAAAAGGCATATGGTCTGCTGACATTGAACAATAAAATGCCAATGGTGTTCTTCGATATCCCAGGCTGCAATGACTGACTGAGGCTATGAAATTCTCAGAAGGGCTAGCAACACATCCCCAGTGATGACCTACTCACCCCTCCCCGCCACCACTTCCTCCGTGCCATTGTTCCCCTTAGGAGAGATGCCCCCAGCCAGAGCGGGATTTTGCCCCCTGCTGCTGCTCCTACTGCTGGGGCTGTGGGTGGCCCAGGTTAGCACCAAGTCCAAACACAGTTTAGCTCAGTGGTTTGAAACTCAGAGTGTGCAGCCCAGCCCCCAGGGATGTAAAGGGGTGATGGGCAACATCAACAAGCACACACATCACTGCAGAGGCCTCCACACCTTCCTGCATGAAGCCTTCCAGTGTGGCCGCCACCTGCCAGAGCCCCACCAAGAAGGCTGCCACCAGAGCCAGAAGCCCCGGTCCCTGACCACGTGTGAGCTCCCCTTGGGAAGGTACCAAGATCACAGGTACAAAGACAAGCAACTGGACGATACTCTTCATCATGGCCCGTAACCCTCCACAACAGAAGGACAGGCTGAAGTTCCTGCCAGTTCCTGTGCCCGGGGTACTGCTGCCTAAGGCCAGGTGCTTCCCTCACCCCAAGCTCTGCAGATTCCTGGCGCTGCTGCTGCATTTCCTCCCTTGCGTTCTTTGCTAATCCTCAGCCTCCTTGCAAATACCACTTTTCTCCCACACTCCCAACTGCACATACTCTTAATTCCGGAGGGGGGCGGGGGTGATGGGTGCCCGACTTGAGAGAAAAGAGGCTGTTCTCTTGAGCGCTTCTGTTTACATTGTTTTCTGAGTGTGTATTACCGTGTGGCCCTTTAAGCCACAAGGATCTCAGTGAGCAGGACGGTCTGGGTTTTGTGGGAGCTATGCCATATAGAATTTTGGAGACTGTCTTTAAAATTTTGTAATTTATAAAAAATATAAAATGACAAATGCAAACTTAGAAGGGCCGTGGTCAGACAGTTCAGAGGGATCCCAGGCAGGGGAGACCATATGAGGAGGAGGACAGGAAAACCTGTGCTGGGCTCCCTGTGTTGAGAATGTGTCTGATTTTCCTTCAGTAAAAGACTGACCTTCCTGCCAAAACCGGTACGGCTCAGTGGATAGAGCGTCAGCCTGTGGACTGAAGGTTCCCGGGTTCGATTCTGGTCAAGGGCATGTACCTTGGTTGCGGACACATCCCCAGTAGGAGGCGTGCAGGAGGCAGCTGATGGATGTTTCTAACTCTCTATCTCTCTCCCTTCCTCTCTGTAAAAAAAAAAAAAAAAGACTGACCTTCCTGATCGAGGGTGTGTGACTGTCCAAGGCAAAGTCTGGAGGTTTGGAAACCCCTTCTTATCTCGGTGAGGCATCAGTCTTACTTGCCTGGCAGACTGGAGGAGGGCTGTGCCCTGAGCAGCTTGGGCTTGGAGGAGCAGCTCGGTCTCTGCCAAGTGCCCCCTAGAGAACAACACGGTGATCCCATCTCACATGAAAGGGAGGAGGGAGAGGAAGAGCAGGCTGAGCCCTGGGTGTCAGCCAGATCTGAGGCCTGACCCATGCTTCTCTGATATGATGCTGAGCAGGTGCTCAGACTTCTCCAGTGAATTTCTCTCCCTTGGGAATTTCAGAATCTGGACTTTCCAAAAATCTTAATCTGGTCTAAATTAGTGCTTCCCTAACTATCTGTGGTAAAGGAGCAGTTTGTTTGTTTTTTGGTATTTTTGTTTGTTTGTTTATTGATTTCAGAGAGAGAGAGAGATAGAAACATCAATGATTAGAGAGAATCATTGATCGACTGCCTCCTGCACACCCCACATTGGGTACTGAGCCTGCAACCCAGGCATGTGCCCTGACAGGAATCGAACAGTGACCCCCTGGTTCATAGGTCAACGCTCAACCACTGAGCTACACCATCCAGGTAAAGAAGCAGTTTTATATGCAATCTGCCTCAGATCGATAATTTTGTAAAATACAATAAAATGAAATAGAGCATACAGATATGAAAAACCCAATGCCAAATTTTATAGTTAATTAAATCTAAAGTCAATTAACACAAAATCACTCTATCAAATTGGCATAGAAGTTTCTCAATGCTTTCTCTCAATTTCTATACTTACCTTAATAGATATTCACACAGAGAAAAACATACACATATAATACACACACATAAACACCAACATAAGACATACACATATATACATACATAAACATATTCACACATGTACGCGTGTGTGCACAACACACAAACACATGTGTGCATAGTAAGGCAGCCCCTCTCCTTCCCTCTCCTGACTCTGCCTCCTCCACATACTCACTTCTCATTTTTAAAAAGATTTTCTGATACAAACTAAGGCTCAGAATAAGGGAAGGATGATTGGTGAAATGTGATGTGGCTGAGAAAGCACAGAATCCAAAAGTTCTGACTCCCAACCCCCTTCCCAGCTTCTGGAAAAAAGAGATCTAAGGTAGAGAGAGCTCCCTGCTCCCCACCACACCCACCCCAAATATAGCTCCCACAGCTTCCAGGAGGCCTCACCACCCCACGCTCTGCCCACCAGTATCACTATCTTACCCACCCCTGTGCTTCTGACCAAGGAAGATAGACTGGAAGGGAGAGGGGAAAACATGCTTCTCCCCCCCTGGCTTCCCTCCAGGGTCGTGGGCAGGCTCCACTTCCTCTGTCTGCACCTTAAATGATGGTGTTTCCAAGGGTCCTATTCTTAGATCCTATTCTTAGCTCACACCGCCCTCTCTGAGTGACTTGGTACACGTCCATGCCTTCAACTGCCACTTACCTGCCCCCAAGGCGTCCTTCCAGCCCCGATCTCTTAAGTTCCAGGCACATATCTCCAGCTACTTACTGTTACTAGCCTCCTCCGTGTCCTGCAGGCATCTTAAGAAACATACTCAGAACTGGCCTCAGATCAGCCTGCCTTCCAGACTTGCCCCTGCTCCTGCAGTCTCTCAGTCTTGGCTAGTGGGGACATTATATCCAACCATTCAGGGTCCTAATCTAAGAGACTCCTGTGTCAACTGAACCACACCAGCCAGGGCTGTCAACTCATTCTTTTTTGTTTGTTTCTTCAGTAATTCCCCAACAATCCCTTGTACTGCTTTAAGAGAGCACAGAACTTCTTGGGTCTTCTTTTCCCCACATATCGTTGGGGTCCTAATCTGTGTCCAATACAGGTTATGGCTTTGGAGAAGGCTGTGATTTAGAGCCAGGAAAACACTCCTAAGTTTCATATATATATATATATATATGAAACTTATATATATATGGCCCAATGCACAAGTTTGTGCAGGGGGAGAGTGTTCCTCAGCCCAGCCTGCACCCTCTCCAATCTGGGACCCCTTGAAGGATGTCCTACTGCCGGTTTACAGGGATGGGGCCTAAACCGGCAGTCGGGACTGCTGGCTCCTAACTGCCTGCCTGCCTGATTGCCCCTAACCACTCTGCCTGTTGGCCTGCTCACCCCAACTGTCCCCTGCCGCCAGCCTGATCACCCCCAACTGCCCATGTCAGTTGCTTGCACCCAACTGCCTCCCCACTGGCCTGCTCTCCCAACAACTGCCCCCATACTGGCCTGCTCACTCCAAATTGCCCCCCCCCCCCCGCTGCTGCTGTCCTGATCACCTCCAACTGACCCCCACTGATGGCCTGCTCACCTCCAAGTGACCCCCCTGCTGGTCTGCTTACCCTCAATGCCCCCTTCCACCAGCCTGACCACCCACAACTGCCCTCCCCTCTTGGCCTCTATCTGCCTCTACCTTGGACCCACCACATCCAGAAGGTCTCCTGGAATGTCTCCCAGTCTAATTAGCATATTATCCTTTTATTAGCATAGATAGAGGCCTGGTGCACTGGTGGAGGCTGGCTGATTTGCTCCAAAGGGTGTCCTGAATCAGGGTAAGGGTTCCCTTGGGATATGGGGCAGCCTGGGCAAGGGGCCTGTGATGGTTTGCAGGATGCCATGCCTCCATGGGGTGAGGGCTCCTGCTGGGGGGGGGGGGGAGGCGTGGCCAGCTGGGTTAGATGCTGAGGGCTGTTTTCAGGCTGGTCATGCCCCCTGGTGACCCAAGCTCCCAGCCCCTCCTTTTTTTTTTTTTTCCAGTGCCTCCTTGAATGGAGGCCAGGGCCGACTGGAAGTAGGTTTATTTATCTTCTATAATTGAAACTTTGTAGACCTGAGCAGAGGCCAAGACCAGCCATGGTGGGCAGGAAGCTTGGCTTTCTCCATTGCCAGGGGCAACCCAAGCCTCCTGTTCACTCCAGCTCCATGGTCACCACCATCTTGGTTAGGTTAATTTTCATGCTCACTCTGATTGGCTGGTGGGTATAGCAGAGGTACAATTAATTTGCATGTTTCTTTTATTATATAGAATACACACACACACACACACACACACACACACACGCTCTGGCCAGGGTGGCTGAGTTTGTTGGGTGTCATTCTGTTTACCAAGAGTTTGTTGGTTTGATTCCCAGTCAGAGCACATGCCTGGGTTGAGGGCTCCATTCCTGGCAGGGGCTCTGCAGGGGGCAGCTGATCAATGCTCGGCTCTCACTCTGTTTCTCTCTCTCTCCCTTTCTCTCTCTCAAAAAATCATAAAAATATTTAAAAAAATAAATTTAGAAAAGATTTCACTATCTAGTTTAAGAGGCAGGTAAAAATAATACATTTGAAACATATCAAATATCAGAAGAGTATAATGAATCAAAGGAATTTCATAACATTTTCCTCCCACCTTCCAAAGAGTTTCATTCATCCTAACCCAAAGCCCATTCTCTATTACATGTTAATCTTTCTTTTAAATGTCTCCATTGCAATGTTCTGTCTGTGACCAGAGTTAGTCAACCCCAGGAGAAATTCAACCATCTGTAGGAGTTGTGTCCCCAGAAGCTGGGAAGAGTGTGGAAAGGATTCCAAATAGAATGAATCCTTAAATAGATTCACTATATCCAAACAAGTAGTGTAGCAATGTAGATAAGAGTTTCTGACTTCCGTGTGTAGGTTGAAGAATGAGATGGAGTGTAACTTGAATCGAGGGGCCTTGGCCCACTCAGAGAGTAATGACACAGCATCCATAAAACAGGGCTCAGTGGGGCACTTGAAGGCTTGAGAAGAGCTTCCTAAAAGCCTCGGGACAAATCTCTGCTGGTTATGATCTCTGGGCCACGGAGGACCTATTTCCAAAAAGTCACTTGGGAAGGGGCTCCCCAGCCATTTAGGATGGCATATTTCCTAGTGGGTAAGTTTGTTTTAATAGCCAAAACTTTTTAACTCAGGATAGAATATTTAAGAAAATCAAACACACAGCATCCTTATGTTTGCATTAAGGAATGTGTGCATATTCGGTATTTTAGGTATTTGCAGTGTTCAAGAGAATTCAGTCTGTTACAGTAACAAATTGGCCTTGTAATTCTAATTTAAAATGTGTAATTGGTGTAGATGTGACTTGAAATAGGACTTTCCTTTAAAAGCAGTTTTGGGCCGAAACTGGTTAGGCTCAGTGGA